GGCTGGTGGAGCGTGTGCTAGGCAGTGACAGCGTCCTCAACCAGTCCAACAGCTTATTTGGTTGCCTGTTCTATGCCACACAGTTGCTGCTAGGTGAGTGCCGTGCCCCTTCACGACCTGGCTTCCCCCTTCCGGATCAGCCCACCCCATGTCTTGGTGACCTAGACAGTTGACAGTGACTGGTCTCTGAGCAGCCTCCTTCCAAGGAGACAAGACAGGAGAACTCTTAGCCCAAGTATTTGAATTGGTTCAAGAAGCCAGAGGCCAAGGGGCCCTCAAAAGATTTCCTACAAACTCAGAAGTCCTTTTTCTTTTTCTTGTTTCATTTTGTTGTTGTGTTTTGTTTTTGGGTTTTATTCTTTCTTTCTCTTTTTGCACTGTGCCGCCCTGGAACTCATTATGTAGACAAGGCTGGCCTCAAACTCGGAGATCCACCTGCCTCTGCCTCCCGAGTGCTCAGATTAAAGGCGTGTGCCTCCACACCTGACTTGGTTTTTGGTTTTGTTGAGAATGAGTTTTTCTGCACAGCCCTAATGTCCCAGAACACACTCTAGACCAGGCTGGCCTTGAACTCCAGTGCTGGAATTAAAGACAGTTGTATCACTACCACCGGGTGTTTTTTTTGTTTTGTTTATTTGAGGCAGGGTCTCTCTAAGTGACCCTGGTTGTCATGGAACTCATTATGTAGACCAGGCTGGCCTAGAACTTGCAGGGATCCTCCGCTTTTGCCCTCTGGGACTATATGACACCATGCCTAGCTGCTTTTTTTTTTTTTTTTTTTTTTGAGACATGTTTCTATGCATTCAAGGTTGACCTTGAACTCCAGAGTCTTGAGAACTTCTCAAATGCTAGGGTTATAGACATATGTTAACACATCTATCTTAAAAATTCTTTTTTGAGAAGAGGACTCCAAATGTGACTTGTGTTACCTGTGTTTCATTCCGTGTAGAGTTTAGCAGGAGAATTTACTGTTTGGGTCCCAAGGATTATTGAGCAGATAAAATCCATCAGATCCTGTCTTAACAGTACTTTTTACCGGATGTACCTGCTGTCTGTCACCGTGGAGGCATGACAGAATTCTAGATGTACCATTACTGATCCTCTCTTTTTTTACAGGTTGCTGGAGGGGACGCTGGGCCTCTGTCCTCCTGGTACTGAGTTCCCTGGTGTCTGTCGTTGGTTCTGTCTATCTGGCCTGGATCTTGTTCTTTGTGCTCCATGATTTCTGCATCGTTTGCATTACCACCTATGCCATCAATGTGGGCCTGATGTGGCTTAGCTTTCAGGAGGTGCCAGAACACAAGGCCAAAAGGCACTGAGGTGCCATCTCAGGCCAGGCTGACCTAGTCTGCTTTGTTTGCCTTGCCCAAGAGTGTAGAAAGCCCCCCCCTCTTCATTCAAATCCTCCCCCTATAACCACACACAGGACAATGACCAAATGTACCTCTAAGTTCTATTCCCAAGAACTGCTTTCTGCTTTTGCTAAAGAGAAGGATTTTTGAACAATAAATTTTCTTATGTCGGTCAAGTCTGAAGCGTATGTCTGCCAGAGACCCTTCGGGGTGTTGGTCTTTCCCTTATTGCCTTCTCTGGAATTGGGATGAGTCAGAGCATGGAGGGCCAGCCCGCGACGGCTGCATCATCTCCAGCATGTGTAGTCAGCAAAACCTGGCGCATCAGCCCCCACGACCAGGAAACAAGCTTGTGCCTCCTGCCTACGGATCAGACCTCCTGTCGTAGGAGGGCCTGCCACACACCTGGAGGGCAGGCCTACTTGGAACATCTTCCTGTAGTCCAACTTGAACTCCTGCAAAAACCCCACCTACCATTCCCAGCCAGTCTTATCACCCATGCGGGGCCAGGTGAAGATTCTGTTTCTGTTTTTTCCTAACGTGTACCAAGAACACGTGTTAATTTAATCCTCAGAGTAATTGTATGAGGTAGTTATATTGTTTCTCTCTCGGTGAGGAAGCATAGGTACAGAGAAGGTAAGGTGCCCTGAGACTGCATGTTTAGTGCCGGGGGAGGGAGATCTCGGATCAACACACATCCCACAACTCACATCGCAGGGCTTTGCACATGCAAGGCAGGTGTTCTACCCCTGAGCTATACTCCAGCCCCTATCTCATAACGGGCATCCACCTGGGCTGTTGACTCTTGTCTGCTCGCAACTCTGCCCACGCTGGCCTCGGATACCGTGGTCAGGGGTCCTGAATGGTGGAGCTAGCCTAAGTTAGGAGTTGGAAGGTGCAAAAGCACGTACCCTCAGTGTTCTAACCTCCATCCCAGCATTTGCAAAAAAGGAGAGCAAGGCCTTGCCGACAGGGTAGCAGGCCCAGAGAGAGGTTGGGATGAGAGCCACCCGTGTAAACGCACGGCCCTGCACATGTTACCTCAGAAGCAAACTGAAGTGTATAAAACTTACCTGGCTTGGCCTGAGGAAGACAGAGAAGCTGAAAAGTGCAATCTGAGGAGTCTGCCGCCACTCCACAGGAGAGGTTTTTCATGCAGGAAGTAACTGGTCTAGATATCAGACTTGTCTAAATGCTGTGACTGGTTGATTTGTTTTTGAGACAGGGCCTTTGCTTGTACAGCCCAGGCTGGCCTCGAACTGGTTAGGTAGCTCAATCAAACCTTAAACTCGAAATTCTGCCTCAGCCTCCAGGTACTAGGATTACAGGTGTGTACCACTATGTTGGGCTTTTAGGAATTTAGATTATTTTATGTGTAGGAGCATTTGCCTGCATGTATGTCTGTGCGCCACATACGTGCCTGGTGCCTGCAGAAGGCAAAAGGGAGTGTTGGATCCCCTGGAACTGGAGTTACAGGTGGTTGTTAGCTTCTGTGTGGATCTGGAAATTGAACCCAGGTCCTCTGGAAAGAGCAGCCAGTGAAGAAACCAGTGAGCCATCTCTCCAGGCCCTAAGCATTTTTTTTAAATTAGTTTGTGTGCATGTTGAATACCATGATGTGTGTGCAGAGCTCAGCTTGCAATAATCCTTTATCATGTTGGTCCAGGGAATCAAACCCAGGTTGTTAGGCTTGGTGGCAAGTGTCTGCACCAGCACCCTAAATTTGTTTATGGTCCCGATGAGATGGCTCCCCAGGTAAAGGTACCTGGCCATGTGCATTCAAACCCTGGGACCCACGTAGCGCAGGGAAAAAACCTCACAGGCTCCCCTCTCTCTGGAATAAAGTAATTGAAAAAACAATAATAAGGGCTGGAAAGATGGCTCATTGGTTAAGAGCACTGACCGCTCTTCCAGAGGTCCTGGGGTTCAGTTCCCAGTATTCACATGGCAGCTCACAACCGGCTGGAAAGATCTGACACCCTCACACAGACATACATACAGGCTCAGCGTGAAAGCACATAAAATAGAATTATTTTTAAAAAGTAAAAACAATAATAAAAATCTGTATTCCTTCCAGTCCACCTGATGAGACCAATTTAAATTTTTTACTATTATTCTATCAGCATGAGTGTTTTGCCTTCATGTGTGTCTATGTACCATATGTGCCTGGTGCCTTGGGAGGGCAGAAGAGGGTGTCAGATCTCCTGGAACTGGAGTTACAGACCATAGTGTGAACTACCCTATGGGTGCTGGGAATCAAACCAGGCCGTGCTGTTAACTGTTGATCTATCCCCCTAGTTCTGCCCCCACACCCCACAAGCACTTGAGTTTTTCAGGCAAAGCACAAACAACGTCATTGTTCAAAGTCACTGGTACAGTAAATGGGGGAACTGGGATTTGAACTGGGGGAGTCTGGCTGGTAACTGAAGCCCAGAGAGGATTAAGAGTCACAACCACAGCCCCCAAGCTAAGAGCTGTTGGCTTTCTTCCAGCCCAGGAAAAGTAACACCTCTTAGCTGATTGAGGGCGGGGCAGGGGTGGAGCCAGGGAGACCCAGGTGGCCTCTCTGAGAACCAGAGCACAAGTGGCCTGGCAGCATGAGGCAGAGCTGGGGACCAGAGCTGCTTATTGTGGGAGCTGTGGTCCTGATAGAGGGTAAGTCACTCATGTGTAAGGGAGGGGGAGTGGCATTGTGGGGACTCATAAGCCTCTCTCTGCCCCAGTAGCCTTGGAGGGTGTGGGTGTGGGTGGGTGTTCTGATGGGAAGGGGAGGTAGCACGCAGCCTGCCATCAAAATGGCCGTAGTTTTCCTGGGCCAGGTTACAGCACTTCGGGAGAACCTGTGTCAATACGTTTCTTTACAGTGGTTCTTTTGAGGTAAGCACTGACGTTGTTCCCATCTTGGCGAGGAAACTGAATTACAGAAAAGCTATGTAGTGTGCTTGAGAGCACATTCTGGTGCCAGGTTAGAAAGGGAAGAATCAGAGACCCTTGTGTGGGCTTGTGGTAATCTCACCCGTGTGTCTGTCTTGTCCCGTCTGATCCTCTACTTCCAGAATGACCCCAGGCATGTTCTGGCTTGGGGCTGTCCAGGCCAACTCTGCCTCAGCTATTCGGTAGACCTATCCATGTGAGACTGTGATGGGATGCAGGCAGGACAGGGACCCCCTGGAAAGGCAGACTGACTGATCCATTAGGACAGGGGTGGAGTGAGGCTCACTTGAGGCCTCCCCAATTTTGGACATGACACAAACCTCTAATCTAACCTTTTAGGCTTCTACAGCCGAAGGGACAATTAAGCTAATGTTCTTCACATACACAGGCCACCTCCCTGACTCAGTGGTGAGGGCAGGAGTTAGGGGTTCAGAAGCCTGGAGGAGGGTTGGCCCGCTCCCAAGGTAAACCTCGAGTCTTGCTCCTTCGGCCCAGGAGTGCTGAGCACGGCTGAGAGAATTAATGGCCGTGTACTCTGAATAGGCTCCAATAAAAGCTGCTTTTCAGCCTCATAAATATTTTCATTCTGGGAGGGGCTGGTGAGGTAGCCAGTCATAGATAAGGACCCAGGGCCTGTCCTTCAACTCATCCCTTCCACTAGACCTGGGCCAGGCATTAAGGCACCCCCCACATCTTGTGTCTTTTTCTTCCTAGGTCTTCAAGCAGCTCAGCGTGGTAAGTGAGGGGGCCATGAGACCCCAGGCTGTACTCGTGTATGAGCTGAGGGGAGGTGGAACCCTGTGGTCCTAAGGTCAGGACAGTGTCTGCAGCTGGCATGACTCCCCCTTCTCTACAGCATGTGGGCAGCGTGGTCCCGGTCCTCCGGAGCCCCATGAAGGCAACACGTCCCCTGGCGAATGGCCCTGGCAGGCCAGCGTGAGGCGACAGGGGGTACACGTCTGCAGTGGCTCCTTGGTGGCAGACACCTGGGTCCTCACAGCCGCTCACTGCTTTGAAAAGTGAGTCATGCTTTGGTCCAGTCTCTCGATTGGAGGGTGGGTTTGTCCCTGTACCTCACAAGATAGGTTTTTTTTTTTTTTTGCCCCTAGAATAACAAAGTATCATTTAGAGAGGATGTGCCAAGTAGCAGGCACAGGATACTAGCTTAACCTTAGCAATCTTTCATGGTACATGCTTTGCAGAGGAGTAAATGGAAACTGAGAGGAGGGAACCGTGCTGAAAGCCATGTGCCTTATCTGCTCATCTTCCCCCTGCCCGTGCTATTCTCCAAGTTGTCATGTCTCCGTTGGCACTCAGCTGCCTGGGCCTTGCTCTTCTCCTTTCAGGGTGGCCACAACAGACCTGAGCACCTGGTCCGTGGTCCTGGGTTCTCTCAAGCAGGAGGGGCTGAGCCTGGGGGCTGAGGAGGTCGGAGTTGCCGCTCTGCAGTTGCCCAAGGCCTATAACCACTATACCCAGGGATCAGACCTGGCCCTGCTCCAGCTCATCCATCCCGCAGCTCAGACAACCCTCTGCTTGCCCCAACCCACTCACCAGTTCCCCTTTGGAGCTTCTTGTTGGGCGACTGGCTGGGACCAGAACACCAGTGATGGTAAGTACTGCCCTAGACAGAAGCCTAGAGAGGCACTTTGCTTGCCCAGGCGGTTCCTACCTGTGCTGGCACCCACGTCCTCGAGTGCCCCAGAGCTAGACTCAACCTAATCTTGCTTGCCAGTTTCCAGGACCCTACGGAATCTGCGTCTTCAGCTCATCAGCCGCCCCACTTGTAACTGTCTCTACAATCGGTTGCACCAGCGGCTGCTGGCCAATCCAGCAAGAACTGGGATGCTGTGTGGGGGTGCACAGCCTGGGGTGCAGGGACCCTGCCAGGTCTGATGAGTACAGGGGAAAAGGGAGGGCCTAGTCTTGGGCTGAGGGCCAAACCCCCAGAGGAGGAGGATGGGGTACAGCCAGTGGGCCTCTGGCCAGTGTTGGGGCTCAGGGGTCTGTTTTGGACTCCTTTGCTGCCTCCAGGGAGATTCTGGGGGCCCTGTGATGTGCCAAGAGCCTGATGGACACTGGGTCCAGGTTGGGATCATTAGCTTCACATCAAGATGTGCCCAAGAGGACACTCCTGTGCTGCTGACTGACATGGCTGCTCACAGTCCGTGGCTGCAGGCCCACATCCACGGGGCAGCTTTCTTGGTGCAGGCTCCAGGAATTGTGGAGACTAGTGATGAGAACAGCTGTGTAGGTAGGTATGAGCATGGGTATTACAGGGACATCCAGGACACATAAAGGCTTCCTGGGCAGTGGGTAGAAGCAACAAGGAAGCAACCTTCAGTTAGACATGGCCCATCGAGAACTAGGCTTGTTAAGGCCCCTTCTAGCTCCTGGGATACAAACAGCCCCACTGGGGCCAGAAAGTTTTACAAATTCAGATATATGAATGTCTCTGAAATCTGACTCGTTCAGGGGGAAAGCTGCAAGTTTCTGGGGCAGAAACAGTGGGAGGTTGAGGCAGGGCAATGCAAATTGCATGCAAAGTCATATGTGGGATGGAAGCTAGGTTATACCTGGGAAGGAAGCGAGGTTCTGATATTCAGAACACTAGTAAGCTAGGAATTTTAGGGCTGGTACAGGCTTGGAGAAGTGCAGGTGGGTGGGGGAGTTGGGCAGCGCCCTTCCAGGTAAGGCTGGCACGGAATACCGTCAGACATCAGGATTAAAAGCATGCACATGTGCCTCTGAATCCCAAATGGGCTACCTGGTGTGGGTCACAGAGCCAGGTTAATCTCCATGTTAGTTTGGTTAGCTTTGGTAATGAGGCTGAAAGTCAACCTAGAGAAGGGAATGGGGGAGATCTGCTAACTTATGGAAGCATTCAGCACAGGCCCTAGCAGGAAGTGACCACTTAATTGGGTGATGTAATCCACCTGTTTCAGCATGTGGCTCCTTGAGGAGTGGAGGCCCCCGGGCAGGAGCCCACTCTCGGTGGCCCTGGGATGCCAGGCTGAAGCACCACGGGAAGCTGGCTTGTGGTGGAGCCCTGGTATCAGAGGTGGTGGTGCTGGCTGCTGCTCACTGCTTTATTGGGTGAGCCTCCTGCCCTCTCTTTTGTGCCCCTTGCCCCAGTGCCTTGTCACTCAGTGCTGTCAACCCTGCCTCTCCACAGGCGCCAAACCCTAGAGGAATGGAGTGTAGGACTGGGGGCTGGACCAGAGGAACGGGGCCTGAAGCAACTCATTCTGCACGGGGCCTATACCCACCCAGAGGGTGGTTATGATGTGGCCCTCTTGCTGCTGGCTCAGCCTGTGACACTGGGCCCTGGCCTGAGGCCCCTTTGCTTGCCCTATGCTGACCACCATCTGCCTGATGGTGAACATGGCTGGGTTCTTGGGCTGACCCAAGGAGCAGGTACACAGGAGTGGGGGACCCTGGCAGTTGTCCACTGGGGGCAACTGAGGCACCTAGTCTTCCTTTGCTTTCTAGACATCAGCTACCCCCAGACAGTGCCTGTGACGGTCCTGGGACCAATGGCCTGTAACAAACAGCATGCAGGCCCTGGGAGCACAGGTGTTCACATCCTGCCAGGGATGGTATGCGCCACTGTTGTGGGTGAGGCGCCTCACTGTGAGGTGAGTTCCAGTCCCCAACCTTACCCAGCAGACCCCGACACTCTCTCACCCTGCAGTTCATGAACAGACTTTCTGCCAGCTGGCCCCCAAACAGCCCAGGCTTTAGCCCCCAAGCCCTTTCCACCTGCTGCAGGAAGTTACCAAGTGTAACCTGCTTCCTAACAGGACCTACCTGGGGCACCACTTGTACATGAGGTCAGGGGCACATGGTTCCTGGCTGGACTGCACAGCTTTGGAGACACATGCCAAGGCTCTGCAAAGCCTGCAGTTTTTGCAGCACTCTCTGCCTACGAGGACTGGGTCAACAATCTAGACTGGCAGGTCTACTTCGCCGAGAAGCCAGAGCCCGAGGCCGAGCCTGGAAGCTGCCTGGTCAACTCAAGTATGTTTGTCACTTCACTCTTCTTTAGCTCTGGCTCTCACCCAGCGGAAACACTGTTCTGACGCCTCCAGCTGTGTGGGCCAGAGCACAGCCACAGACAGACCCACGTGGACTTTGGGCAGCAGGGAGTCTCAGGTTCTTGGGTCTTCGGGTCTCCCATACACCACAGGGACCAATATGGATCATGCTTCTTCAAGGGAAGTAATAAAACTACAGGGATGGGGCCAAATTAATTTCCTTCTTCTCCCTGACAGGCCAAGCAGCCAGTTGTTGATGGTGACTCTTTAGTTTGCTCACAGGACGCCAGGAAAGCCAGGCAACTCCCACGTCAACACCCAGTTTTACACGCCTGCCCTTCCCCTGCCTGTCTTGTGGTTCCCAGCCAGCCTGGAGGCAGGCCTGACAGCCGTCTGGCTAGGAATGAGCCTGCCCAGAGATGCTTTCCATGTGTGGCCAAGGCCCCACCCCCAAGCTCTGCTTTTCAACAGAGATGTCTCCAGTGTTCTCTATCCAATCCTTCAGACACAACCACACCAATAGCTGTTGTGAAAAAAAAAAAGTTGTTTTTTGGAGGGTGGGGTTTGGGGAGCAATTTTCCTTTTTTAAAACTTAAATAAATTGTTACAAAATAGATTTTAGAAAATAAGTTACAAACTATAGTAAAAGGCTCCCCTCCCACAGGCAACTTTCCCACCTGTGGTACTCTCAATCTGCCTCTCCCTGGCTTAGAATCTGGCCATCCCAGCATTTTGGCAGAGCCTGGCCCTGAAGAACATGGTGACACAGGCTTGGGAGGAGATCCTTCATGGGCAGACTTGAAGACTACCTCATGCCCTTCTCGAGAAAGAAACCAGATCAGGGTTGTCTTTGTGGGCAGAGGAGATGGGGATGCCCAAGCAACTCCTGAGAGAAATGTGGAGATCCAAGCCTCTCCTTGCCCTGCTCGTACTCCAACTTCAGTGAGCTGTTCTCTGGAGACGAAGTTCAGAGGGAGAAGTTGAGGTCTGCAGGCCACTGGGGTGAGGGGTTCAGGAGCGAGGCTGTACTTGAGTCCCCTCTGCTTGCTGCTGATGCCACTGAAACTCCTAGGGAGAGAAGGAAAGGTCACTGAGGGGGCCTACACCTCTCCAGCCCTGAGAGCACAGAGAAGTGCAAGAGGCAGGCATAAACAGTTCACGTTCAAGTGGCTGCCTACCATGTAAGAGGCCCCAGGCACATGCCCGGCATATTACCCCTCACCAAACAGGTCAAGTCCACAAATCCTCATTAGTTTTGTGGCCTTGGCTAACAGGCATCACTCACTTGACGTCACAAGAAGCCTTTGTCCTGAGAACTATATCTTCAGTTCTCAGGAACCATCACCACGATGGTCCTTCTCAGACAAGCTCTGGTAAAGGGCATACCATTTCAGGGACATCCATCCTTGGTGGCTATAGACAGAACGCATTTTCCTCTTTATACGTGGAATATGAACTGGCTGAGTACATAGACTGCCCATGACTCCACGGCCTTACCCGTCCAAGGCCTGGCTGGGTGGAGACCAGTTTACCCTGAGATTCACTCTGATAGAGCATGAGAGATAGGGACTAATGACTGCTGCTGCTCAACCGGGCCTGGCTTCAAAGAAACAATTATCTGTGAGTCAGCCCTTCAGTTAAAGGGGTGTGTTGGGGGAAGGTGCTGGCAGAGAGAGGGTAGTTTGGTTGGCTCCTATAAGATCTGTGGCAAGAGGAGAAGGAAAAAGTTAACTAAAAGAACAAACACAAAGATGTGGTACAGCACTCCCAGGAAGGACCAGGGGCCTCACTTCCAAGAAGAAAAGGCAGAGAAACTATCAGGGAAGGGGGACAGAAGAACAGAGTTGGCCAGAGACCTGGCAAACTGGCCAAGTCAGCAGTAAAGCCACAGAGCAGCCAGTTAGAAGTCACCAACTGAGCAGGCAGACTCACCTTTCCTTAAACCTGCAGGCTATTACCTATCTACCTGTATGACAACCCAGGAATTGGCACTCCTCCACCGTCCACCTCTCTCATTCCACGGCTTCTTGCCCACTCTAGGAAAGACCAGAACCTAAACAAAGCCCATGGTTCCATCTTTTTCTTCTGGAAATCATTACTGGCTAAATCAGGTTTCTTGGAAGTGCTGGTGCCCTGCTGAATCACCAGAAGGCCCACACCACTGGCCTCTACCCTTGTTCCCTGTGTCCCAAACTCCTGCCCAACCTGCTGTCTCTCAAGAACCACAGCAGGACCCACACGGACCCCAAGCGCTATAGCTGCAGCATCTGTGGCAAGGCTTTCCGGACCGCTGCCCGGCTTCAGGGCCACGAACGGGTCCATGCACCCCAGGAGGGCCCATTCACCTGTTCTCACTGTCCTCGCCACTTCCGCCACCGAATCAGCTTTCTGCGGCACCAGCAGAAAGCTCAGTTGGTGATTTCTAACAGATACCTCTGACCACGGAAAGAAAAAGGCCATTCCTCTTTGGCCATAAAAGAAGAGTCCACACCACTGCCCAACCTCCCATGATGTCCATCCTGACTTAGGCAGGGTTCATACCTCAGTGGCTCAAAGGCAGCCAACCATTTCAAACTAGGCTGTCAGTCTGTCTCTAGGCCCTTGCCACTTGAGTCCATCTCACTCTTTTCTGCTTGCTCCCCTCACCTCCTCTGGGTCACGATTTCTCTCTCCACTGTGCGCTCACAATCCTTTCTTTCTGGGTCCTCTCAATCCTCTGCCCAACGCACTCATCCCACATACCTGAGCTAGACACTGTCCACTCCTCCTGGTGCTGCTGCTGGTGCCGCAGAAAGCTGATTCGGTGGCGGAAGTGGCGAGGACAGTGAGAACAGGTGAATGGGCCCTCCTGGGGTGCATGGACCCGTTCGTGGCCCTGAAGCCGGGCAGCGGTCCGGAAAGCCTTGCCACAGATGCTGCAGCTATAGCGCTTGGGGTCCGTGTGGGTCCTGCTGTGGTTCTTGAGAGACAGCAGGTTGGGCAGGAGTTTGGGACACAGGGAACAAGGGTAGAGGCCAGTGGTGTGGGCCTTCTGGTGATTCAGCAGGCTGCCAGCATGGCGGTAGGAACGTCCACACTGGGCACAGCAAAATGGACGTTCCTTGTCTTCAGCTGCTGTGAAATTTATTCCTTGTCCTCCATTAGCTGGCTTCCCATTCTCTTCTGGGTCTCTCAGAGGTTCTGATGGGGCCTCCTGAGCTTCCCCTGGGCCAGGGAAATCCACCTCTACCATCCCTGCTTGTGGATCTCTGGCCTCCTCTGTCTGACCTGGCACCTGACTGTGCTCGATTACGTGGTGAGTTTGCATGTGTGTGGCCAGTTCACTGTGGGCCTCACACACTTCGCTGCAGTTACTGCAACCAAAGGGCTGGGCAGCAGTGTGGTTGTGGATCTTAGTGCTCACAGGATTCAAGAACTTTTTGGAACACGGCAAACAACTGTGACCGTCTTTTCTATTACTGCTGGGGTTCAAGAGGCCGCCAGGTTGGCAGTAAGTCTTGCCACACTGGCTGCAATAGGGGTGGCTCTCTGGTTGGAGCTGAGAGCTGCTGTCTCCACCATCCCAGCTATCCATATAACTTACAGCAGGACCATTGGATTGGCTCTCACAGGGGTGACGAGGATTCCTGGAGACAGCAACTTCCAACTTGCCTTCTGGCTTGGTTAACTGATCCTGAAGAGCCCAGGCACCATTGTGACTCGTCTGTCCCCTGTCTCCTTGACACCCATCTACCTTTCCCACCTCCCAAGATAAAGATTCTGTGACTTCTGGACCTGCAGGCCCACTGGGACTCTGACTGTGTTCCCTCGGCCTCTTGGTTCCACGCTCCAGTGGCAGAACTGACTGAATGCCATCTGAGCTGCCCTGCAGTTCCCAGTCACTATCAAGGTTCCCCTCACTGCCTTCGGTACCATGCTGGCCTCCCTGGCCACTGGCCAGCTCTAGTTTGGTCTCCTCATGCTCCCGCAGATGCCGCTCTAAAGATCCCTGCCCAGGAAAGCCACGGCCACAAAGGGTACAACGTACAGCTGCTGCCCTTTGGGGCCATCCTGCTTTCCGCCGCTGGCTGTCAGAATGCAGCCTCTGATGGTCTTTCAGGGCCGTGCGACTGGAAAAGGTCTTAAAACAGAAGGGGCAGCTGTAACCGCCTGTCTCATGGTTGCATTGGTGGTTCAGGAGGCTGCCAGCATGGCGGTAGGTCTGGCCACACTGCCCACACCTGAAAGGCCAATCCTCACGAAGCAATTTCTGGGTCTCCTTACCCCTACGTGGCTCAGTATGGACCCGCTGGTGGTTGGCCAGCTGCTTCCGCAGGCGAAAGGCTTTCCCACATTCACTGCAGCAAAAATGCCGAGGGTCTGCGTGGATGCGCCGGTGGTTCTTAAGTGACATGAGATTCGAAAAGCCTTTGGAGCAGGCCTGGCAGCCGAAGTGGCCAGTCTGGTGGCTCTGCCGGTGATTGATGAGGCTGCCGGCATGCTTGTAGGTGCGGCCACACACTTCACAGCTAAAGGGGCGCTCAGAACTGACGTCAGTCTGACAGCCTGTCTCCAGCCTCTGCTCCGCTTCCTCCTCCTTCACAGTGCTCTCCTCCCACACTTCCTCCTTCTCCCTTGCCAGATCCTCCGAGGATTCCACCTTGAATTCTTCCTGGAGCTGCCCCACGAAGGCCTGCTCCCGCTCTGCCTCTGCCACGTTCTGGGATTCACTGTGGCCTCCTGCCTCCGAGATGGGCCCCAACTGGGGCTCTGAGCCTTTGCATCGAGGGTGGTTCCGCAGATGATTCCGGTAGGCAGCGAGGTTGGGGTAGCAGCGGGAACAGACAGGGCAGATGAAGTCACCTGTCTGATGGATTTTGCGGTGGTTCACCAGGCTTCCTCCGTGGCGATAGGTCTTCCCACACTGATTACACTGGAAAGGGCGGGGGTGGGACTCCAGAGAGTTTTCACCACTCTGCATGCAAAGACTGTCTGCTACTGTGCCACCTACTCCCTCTTCAGACTTTGTGTCCCCACCTTCTTCTGAGACAGAGGTCACTGTGCCCTCAAAGACATCATCTGCAACCATTTCTATTGCATCTCCTGATCCTTCTAAGTGGCCAGGAATATTCTCTGTCCTATTGCTGGAACTTTGACTTTGGTGGTGACGCTCCAGGCTCCCAAGGTCATCATAGGTCTGGCCACAGCAACCACAAATGTGCCCATAACCTGCTCCATCAAGAGCTTCCACCTCACGCTGCAGCTGATTCAGCAGCTCTGCTTCTGAGAGCTGCAGGGGGGGACTGCGGGTAGAGGCTGCTTCCGAGGTGCCTTCCTCTTCTTCTTCTGAGCCCTCAGTTATGCTAGAAGAGCCATGAGCCTGGCGCAGATGATGCCTGTACCCAGTCCTCCCAGGAAAGATCATACCACACAGGCAGCAGAGAAAAGGCTGTGCTGAGGCTACCTCCCCTGGCCTGTGATTCTGGAAGTGACTACGAAGGGCAGGCAAAGAATCAAACTCTTTTGGACACAGAGAGCATTGATAGATGCCCGGAGGGTGGCAGGACCTATGGCTCAATGGGCCGGCAGCACTGGGAAAAGAATCCCCGCAATCAGAACATGTGTGAGTGACTCCAGCCTTCCAGGCAGTGGCAGTGTCAGTGTCAGCATCAGCGTCAGCAGGACGGGAGGAGTCCGACTGGCAGATGCCAGGCTTCCGGTCACTGTCCAACCCAGGGAGGCTATCACAAAAGCCAGTTTCACTGCTTTCCTCGTCACCTGGGATGTTCAAGTTGCGGAAACAGGCCTCTTTCTTTTCTAGTCCTTCCTCAGTGCCTGTACCCTCTTTATCACCCAGGAAACAGGCTTCATCCTTTTTAAGCTCACATCTGTTGCCTTTAGATCCAGCCTGCAAACAGTCTCCAGCCCTTTCCAGGTCGTCTTCAGTACCACAAGGACTTTCTCCCAAAGGGTCTTGGGAACAATCCAGGTCCTCATGGTTTTCCAACTTCAGGGTCCAGGTACCCACAGGTGGGAGTTTGGCAGCTTCTTCCCCAGCATTACTATCTCGTTTCTGATGCCTCCTGCTCCACTGCCGACTGTGACGTCGTAAATGGCTCTTCATAGCAGCCATGGTATGGAAATGCTTGGCACAGGCCCCACAGCTGAAGTCTCCTGTTTGGTGGGTCTGCCTGTGGTTGATAAGGCTGCCGGAGTGGCGATAGCTCTTCCCACAGTCTCGGCATGCAAATGCTCTTGGCGGAGATGCTGTGCTGCCTGTCCTGCTCTTGTCCCCTTCCCCTGCCCTGTGGGTCATGTTATGACGTTCGAGACTCTTGAGATCTTCAAAGAACATCCCACAAACGCTACACCTGTGTGGCCTCGTCCTGTTTGCTGTTGAGAGGGCACTGGTGGCCTCTTCTCGCTGGCACGTGTGCTCCTGATCTGTGTGAAATGCTGCTTCTGCTCCAGCTGGGTCAGGCTGCTCCTTCTTGACAGGGCTAGGCGAATCTTCAGTCCCAGGGTCTGTACTTCGGCGTGTGGCCTTGCAATGTACCCGCACATGGTTGCGCAGAGCCATAAGGTTGGGGTATTTTCGAGGACAGAGCGAGCACTGGTACTCCCCTGTCTGATGGCTGTGGCGATGGTTCACCAGGCTTCCCCTGTGGCGGTAGGCCCGGCCACACTCACTACACTTATAGGGACGATGGTCCAGGTTGGCAGTGGGGACCTCTTCCTCTTTTGGGGTAGCCTCAGCCAACGTCCTTCCTGAGGATACCGATGACTGACCATCTTCCCCTGCTCCTGGCCGGGGTCTATGATGAGCACGCACATGGTTTTTTAGAGCGGCTGCATTAAAGAGCTGCTTGGAACAAATGGAACAGGGGTAAATACCTGTTTGGTGGCTCTTTCGATGGTTGATGAGACTACCTGCATGACGGTAAGTACGGCCACAGTCCCCACAGCAGAAAGGTCGATACTCCTCTGGGCCACCATCCTCTAGCTGCCCAGAAGTGCCGAGCTCCCCAGAACCATTGAGCATCTCTGTTTTAGGTGGCTGATCGCAGCCCCTTTCCTCTGCGTGTCCGTTTGTGGTAGGCATTTCTTTCTCGCCACATGGCTGTTCCTGCTTTAGCCCCTCATGGGATTGCTGATGTTCCAGCAGGTCCCGAGGGAGCCGGAAGGCACGGGGACAGTGGGGACAGTGGTAAGGCCGGTACTGGGCGTGGAGTCGTGAGTGGTTCTTCAGAGCCATGAGGTTAGAGAACTCCTTAAAACAGATGGCACAAGGGTAGATGCCAACAGTGTGGCTCTGCCGGTGGTTGGTAAGGCTCCCGGCATGCTTATAGGTCTTTCCACATTGATTGCACTTGTATTTTCGCTCCTCCTCAGTAGGAAGCGGCTCAGTGGACTCCTGGGGCTCCGTGAAGTTCACTACCGATTCAGCCAAATACTGCTCCAAATTGCTAAGGAGGTTGCTCGCTGGAGTAGGGAATGGTGGCGCTCCATCAGAACTGGTGGTGGGTACCCAGTCTTCTGCGCTTCCATTAGGATCTGGCTGGATTTCTAAGCTCTCTCTTCGTTTTCTAGGTGGATCTTCCCAAGTACCTGCAGCTGCCCTGGGATCAGCTCCAGATTCATAACCATGTGTCTTTTGTACATGCTTTGTCTGATTTTCCCAGCCTTCCCCAGAACCAAGCCTTTGACCCCAAGAGTCAGTGCACACTTGCTCGCTCTGATGTGGAGAGGTTTCCTTGGTGTGTGGGGGCCCATGCCTTTGGTGGCCTTCAGGAGCATGAGTCCTCATGTGGCTCTGGAGGGCCAAGAGATTAGCAAAATCCTTGTCACAGGTAGTACAGGGGAAAAGACCAATCCCGTGGTTCTGCTGGGGGTTGGCCAAGCTCCCTGGGTGACGGTAGCCACGCTCACACTGCTGACTGGGGCAGGGGTGAGAGACACCATCAGCTTCCTCACCGTCCTGGTTAGCAGATGAGTGAAGTAGTTCTCGATGCCGCGACAGCTCGGGGAGGTTAGGAAACTGTCTCTGACAGTCAGAGCAACCAAATGAAAGGGGCGTGTCCTCCATGGGGCGGTGTGGCAGAGAGACTTGGAGGCTCAGAAGGAACAGACAGGTGGCGGCGGCATCTTCCTCTGCAGAGGGGCCACAGCCTAGAAAGAAGGGGCAGCAGTCAAAAGAAAGGACTGTCAGTTTTGCTTCCTGGCTATATGAGTACCATGTTCATAAGAAGTCACTGAGAGGTTCCCCGACCATCCATGCCAGGGACCTGATATTAGGTCCCGAGGCACCATCAGAAAGCTTCACTATGCACAATTGTCAAGAAAAGTTTCCCTACACTTAAGTCATCTGTAGAGCCAGAGAGACATAAGGAAACTAAAACCTAGGAGTCTAGACTTTAGACAGACCTAACTTTTTAAACAGTATATATATAAAATCGATCTTACTGTTTTTAGGGCTCTGCTCTCTATTATTCTGGAACTAACAAAAACCTATGAGATTTTAACAAGCCAAAAGTACTTCCGGCTTTGTTATTGTTTTTGAAATAAGGTCTCAGCTCACTCTGTAGCTTAAGCGGCTCTGGAACTCCCTATGTTGCCCAAACTAGCCTCAAACTCATGGACTTTCCTACCTCAATCTCTTGAGAGTGGAGATTATAGTGAGAGCCACAAAGTTGGCCAGGTCTTAACAATAAGAGACGTCCAATCCTTCTTTCTTTACCCTTCAGCTAACCTGGCAGTGGTCTGAAAGTACGGACAACACAGCTGCTGTCTTCAGCTACCACCTAACCTGTGTGGAAGTTAAAGGTCATTTCAGGGATGAACCCTCTGCCTTTTTAGCAGCACATTGTTCTCCTAATTGGTAGGCCTTTGTTTCACTTACTTCCTTTAAATACATTTAATTCCATCCCATTTCAGGTTGGAATTTCATTTTATCCCCTGCCTGCCTTACCTTGCTGACACCATCACTTTTCATTTCTCTTCTACGTCCTCTCTAAATCATGATGAGGATGGCAACTCGTGCTGGGCAGTACCATGTGCCAAGCACTGTTGTTAATTCTTTCGGGGAGATGTTAAGACAGGGTCTCAGTACACAGCCCAAGTCACTGTAAGAGGCAATCTTAATCCCCAAACCCTCGCTTCCCCAGTAGCAGCTACTCATTTCTGCCACATCATCTTGCCTTTCTCCGAAGCAGACTACAGTCTCCCGGGACCCTAACACAACTATTTCTAATCTCACCAGCTGAGCCTGTTCCCGGAATTCTCACTACTCAAACTCCTGCACTCGAGTCCCTTGTCCATAGGCAAACAACATCACGGTTCTCTAGAGTCACTCGTCTTTTCTGCCAATTTCTTCTCTAGATCCCTACCTCGCACCAGGAGTGCCTTCTGGTTCCCGCCGCCGGCGCGTCCGTTGGAGGTCGTGAACGGGAGCGCGCCTGCGCACTGGGACCCTCACCCTAACTGCAGCCGCGAGCCCTAAGTGGTTGCTGGTGCAAGTGTTCTCGAGCTCATACCCACGTACACTCAGCCAGGGTTCCCGGGAGTGGTAGATGAGGGAAAGAGGGGGGAGAAAGGAGGAGAAAGAGGTAACAGGGCACAGCTGGTATACGCCAAGAGTCTACCACAGTTCCGCGGACACTTCCTATTGTTACTAGGAACCAGGAAGTGTCCGGGGAGCTAAACCTTCCCCCGGAAACTTCCGCCCAGGAACACTTCCTGTCCCTCCGATCAGTGTTTCTACACGGACACGCTTCCGGCGCTAGGTTCCGGGTGGGCCCAACTCTTGCTTGTTTTGTTTTTTTTTTGTTGGTTTGAAACTGGGTCTAACTCTGCAGCCCAGATCGGCCTCGAGCTCGGAGCAACCCTCCTGCCTCAACCTCGGGAGTGTTGGGACTGCAGGCAGCGCGAGCTATCGCGCTGGGGCGGTGGGCGCCACTCTGGCTCCTCCCACGCAGGTCAGCGCTGCGCTCTGCTGCTGAAGCCACACTTCCGTCCAGAGCCGCTTAAAAAAAAAAAAAAAAACACAACAAAAAACAAAAAAACCGCCCCAGTGCTTGTTCAGTCGGCGCCACGGCGCTTTAGGGGCACTTCTTCGCGAGGCTCCACAGAAGACCCTGCCCGAGACAGGGGTGGGAGGGCCTCCCCACAAGTTCGCGCCTCCGCTGGTGGAGGGACGGTGGACTGGAGACGGACCCGGGGACCGCAAAGCCGGGGGCCCTCTCTGCCGCTCCCCACCTCCTAGCTCTTGCAGACACTTCCGACGAGCTGGCGGGGGCACACCGTCTCGCGTCCCAGCCCCTCGGCACCCAGAGACCCTCGGCAAGATACTTCTCTGCTACGGTAGGCTCTGGGGAGCTTCCGTAAGCTTTTCCTTCCTCCCGAGCGCGGAAGGCGCGCTTCCGCTTCCGCCGTCGGGCCGCCGGCCCCGCCCCTCGCCCGCCCTGCCCCCCCGCTGGGTCCTAGCGCCGGCCGCTCTCCGACTGTCCCGGGCTCCGTCGGTTCCGGGCAGCGCCGCCGAGGCCGTGGAGCCTGCGGAGATCCAGCCAGGTAGGACTGGGCTGCGGGGAGTCGCAAGGGCCTCGGGCGGCGGGCGCCGACACGGCTTGCGCTGCCCTCGGTCTCCCCTCCGATGCCGAGCGGGCCGAGCTGACCAGGCGCGAGCATCGCGGGCGGGGCGGGCGGTGAGCGGCCTCGGGCGGGCCGCGGGCCCGGCAGGTCCTAGAACCCGCCCGGTGCCCGCGGGTCAGCGCGGTGGATGCCTAGGCTCGGCGGCCGCGGCCGCCGGTCGTGCTCCGCGCGGGCCCGGGGGTCCTAGAGTCCGCCACGTTACGGGCTTTTGTCTGGGTGGCGAGGGCCTCCGAGCCGAGTCCTCCGCGTCTGCGCGCCCCCTCCCAGGCCGAGGTCCTGCCCGCCCCTCCCGCGGTCCTAGAGAACGCCATCTTGCAGGCCTTTGTCCTGCTCTCGGTCCTCCGTCCATTCATTTGTTCTTTCCCTCCTTCTTCATTCATTCTGCCCTGTTCCACTCGCCGAAGCCACGTTATCCTAGGGTTTAGTCCCAAATGAGTCAGCATACAGCCCCGCTGGGCGGGGGCTGCCTGTCTGGCGAGGACAGCCGCCCAAACACGGTTGCAGAGAGCGAGGAGCGCTGGGTTTCTGCAGCTCCTGTCCCTCCTCAGAGAGTCTGGTAGGCCCTACCGCCCTGCAAACTCCCATACGTTTCAGGGACCCCATTCCACTGAGGAAATTGAGGCCCGGAGCGCCATGCATCCCTCGTGCTTACCGCTCGTTAAATATTCTTGAGGGCATGGACTATTGGGAAATAGAGAATGGGAAGCTTGCAAGTATCTTCCCGTGGGAGAAGGAAAACGAGGGCTCCCGTTTGGGAGCAAAAGGAATTGCATATGGAGGTGGTAGAGTTTGTGATTTGTGGATGGAGCTTAGGTTGCTGACCAGAGGAGACACTGCCACAGACACTGAGGCTGGAAAAATGGGATCGGGTTGTGAGCTGACCGGTTGTTAGGCCGAGGACAGCAATTAAACATTCACCCCAATACAGTTCCATCAACTCACCAAAAGGCCCGAGGTCTGTGTGGCTTATATTTTGACTTGCAAAGATGGGGGAATGCAGATGCCTCTCATTTGTTAACCACACCTGCGCCGCTTCCCTCCCCGCTTCCCACCCCGCATTCCCCAAACTTTGGAGGCACTGAATCTGCATTAACTTGTGAGGCAGCAAAATGTCACTCCCCTCAGGCGAGTGGTGACAGTGTGTTCCATCACAACAGCGAACAAATTGTAGTGCCAGGGTGATACTTGAACTGTATGATCTTCTAAAGATGGGGCCTTTTCGTTAATAAATAGTTGGTGACTGACTCTCACAACTCCTCCGGGGCAGAGGCTGTAGACCCGGGTTTGCTTTCAGTCACCAAGCAGTTTTGGACAGGAGAGTGCATAGAACAAAATTCCCTGGACCCTAGTGCTGGAGGCAGAAAACTAACAACCAAATAATAAAGTGTATTACTGCTAATAAAACAATAGTCAAGGGGACAGATGGTAGACATTTCGTTATCTTGTCTACTTGGCTTCAAATACCAGCTAAATCTATGAGTAATTACTTGGCTTTTCTGTTCTCTCTTATTTTAAGAACATGTTTGATTAAATTTTTATTTGTCTTGCGTGTGCTTGCAGCACATTGTGGAGGTCAGAGGACAACTTACTGGAATTGGTTCTGTCTTTCCACCATGCGGGTCCTGCCACTCAGGCTGTCAGGCTTGGTGGAAAACGGCTTTACCCACTGGGCCTTCTTACTAGCACCAAGAACACTAACCTTACAGCCTGAAGTCCTACCCCTAAGACTTTATTTGACCTTAATTACTTACGAAAAGACTTGTTTCCAGACACAGTCACAGTGGAGATTAGAGCTTCAATATAAGAATTTTAGAAGAAGCTGGGTGCTGTGGCACACACCTGTAACTCCAGCAGTCAGGGAGACAGAGGCAGGTGGATCTCTGGGTTCCAAGCAGCCTTGTCTACAAATCGAGTCCAGGAGAGGAGGCAAGAATTTTTGAAGAACACAAATATTCAGCTATCACAGACTTCTGAAGAATTGAGAAATGACCTTGAGAGATCAAATCAGGGTCCATACAATACGAGTGATACCTAGTCCATAGCGTAAGCCTGCACGTAGGATTTGATCCAGATGGTACCATTAAAAAAAATTAAAATTAAAAAAAAAAAAAGTTTTTTTGAAAGAACTTAAAAGGTAGCCAGGATATGGGGAAGAGGACACATTCAGTCTTGATGCAGCTTGATGAGCTGGGGTGGACGGGTGAGGGAGCTCCCCTTTTCTGAGGGAAAAAAGGGAGTGGGATGGGAGGGTGCTCCTGGGAGGGGAGAAGGGACGGGGCTACAACAAGGATGTAAAGTGAATTTATAAAAAGGTAGCCAGGACAAAGATATCATCATCTGAAGGGAGTCTCTGAGGTGTGGCGTACACCTTAAGGACCCAGCACTCAGAAGATAGGCAGATCTCTGTGAGTTGCAGGACAGCCCAGGGGAGGGGGGGAGAATGAATGAATGAAAGTGCATCCAGCTGAAAGCATAACTCAGTAGTAGAATGTTTGCATGAGACCCTAAGTTCAATTCCAAGGGCTGCCAAAAAGAAAGGAAGGTGGATGATCAGAACCAAAGCACATGATTCATACCTGTAATTCCAACACTGAAGAGGCCAAGGCAAGAAGAATCCGGGCCAGCCTGGGCTACATAGTAAGACCCACTGCCACCCCCAGAAAACGTAGACAAGAAAACCTTTATTGTTTTTTTAATGTATGAATGTTATACTTACATGTATGTATGTGTGCCAAGTGTATGCCAAATGTCTGTAACTGGAGTTACAGGTGTTTGTGAGCCACCCTGTGTGTGATAGGAACCAAACCTGGATCCTCTGGAAGAACAGCAATTGCTCTGAATTGCTGTGCCATCTCTGCAGAGCCCAGGAAGGCCTCCTTAGGGGCAGGGAGATGGCCAGCCTTGATGACCTGAGTTTAGCCTCCTAGACCCATAGAGTAAAAGGAGTTGTTCTCTGTCCTCCACACATACCTTGTGAGTGAGTGTTCATACACAGACAGAGTAAGCAAAATCTTTAATGAAAGCCTTAACAGAGGAGGTGTGTGAGAGTAAGACCCAAAGTTACCAAAGAGACAGCACGCATAGATACGAAGGTCTCAGGGTGCTTCAGACCAAGGGAACTGCTAGCATAAACACCTTGGAGTTGAAGAAATTAAAATCTAAAACCAAGACAGGAGGCCTGGGTGGGTGAAGCCTCGTGTTGGAAGTAGGGAGTTGGACAGAGCTAAGCAGCAGTGAGCTGAATGAGGGGTTCGCTAATCGCAGAAAACCGCTTGTCTTCATCCTGGGAAGTGTCAGGATTTTGCCGAAGAATTTCAAGTGAATCAAGAGTGATCAAAAGAGTTCAGGGTTTAAAGATTTGAGTTTTGACTCTGGGCATCTTAATTAGGTGTGTACCCGGTTTGCCTTGTGAGGACTTTTAAATACAATCATAGTAAAAACACATTTTAAAATAGAATTGTAGTAAAAGTGTTTCCTTCCTATAAGTACTTGAAGACCTAAGCGGGGTGTGTGTGTGTGTGGGGGGGGGTGTTCTCTCTCTCTCTCTCTCTCTCATTTGTTTGTGGTACTGAGGATAGAACCCAGTGCCTCACATGTCAGGCAGGCACTTCCCCTTTTGTATGCTGGCTCTCATCGGTTCTTAAGTATTGGTTGGAATGATCCGAGTTTGTTTAGTGTACAGTTTGCAGGGCTGGGGAGATGGTTTGGTGGGTTAAAACACCAGCCATGCAAACCTCATAGTCTGAGTTTAAGCCCCAAAACCCAGGCAAATGTGTAATCCAGCAGTGCTGTAGGGAGGCAGAGTCAGAGACCACACAGGGGAAACTGGATGTGGTGGCGCGAGACTTTACCCCTGCCACTGGGGATGCCAAGGCAAAGGGCTCTGTGTGTGTACACTTGTGTGTGTGCCCGTGCTCAGAGAAGGATGGAGGAGGATGCCAGGCTCCAGCGGATCCGCTGCATCCTAACCATTGTGAGCTGTCTAACACGGGTGCTGGGAACCAAACTCATAGCCTCTCGACCAGTGGTTCTTAACCTTCCTAATGCTTCTTTCATATCAGTTCCTCTTGTGGTGACCCTCAACCATAAAATTATTTTTGTTTCTACCTCATAACTGTGATTTTCCTACTGTTACAAATTGTAGCATAAATATCTGTTTTCAGATTGTCATAGGTGACTCCTGTGAGTCATTCCAGACACACTGGTTGAAAACCATTGTTCTAGAAGATCAGTGAGTGCTCTCAACTGCTTGGCAATCTCTCCTGCCTATGACTTTTTTTTTTTTTTTTTTTAATTTGAAAGAATAAAAGTGCAGATTCCAGTGTCCTACATCAGCTTCCTTAGATGATTTTGTTTGCTTTTTTAAAAAATTATTTTTATTTTCAGTTGTGTATTTGTATTCGGACTTCTCTACAGGTGCCAAAGGACCCAGAAGAGGGTATCAGATCCCTTGGAGCTGATGCTACAGGTGGTTGTGAGCCACTCAATGTGGGTGCTAGGAACAGATTCAGGTCCTCTGAAAGAGCAGCAAGGCTCTTCACATCAGAGCCATCTCTCTAGCCGCTTGTTATTTAAGTCAGGATTTTGCTGTGTAGTACAGGCTGGCCTTGAACTAATGATCCTCCTGCATAAGACTCACAAGTATTAGGATCATAGGTGTGCTTCCTAGATGAGGGTTTTGATGCAGGGGTTTGCCAGACCTCACCTAGGAAAACCCCACTCTTTGACGTAGTGGGTGCAATGAGTTTTTTAAGGTAGACACACTTAACCTACCTGGCCTTCCATTCTTCATGAACTGGGTGCCTGCTGAGACCCATTAGACACTTCCCATTTCTCCAGATGAGTGCTTCAGGAGGGATTAACCCTCTAGCAACCTGGTCTTTAGTTCACAGACTGGAAGACTGAAGCACAGCCTGGCAAGGGCTGGGATAAGGGGCCAGCGCTCAAGATTAGTAAGTCTCAGACAGCACTGGGTCCCAGCTCTGCTCTCTGGGCTATGTTAGAAAGATGAAAGAAGGTGTAGGTCCAATGTGATCTCGGGCTTCGGGCACTGTTGCAGGCCTAGACGGTAGGTCAGGTCCCAGACTTCCGAGCAAGGGCTCAAAAACTTGAAACACCCAGAGTCAGGCACATCTCAGCCGTGGTCAGTTTCTAGCTGTGTGACCAAGCAAGTCTCTTTACTCTTAGAACCCACCACCTTCTCATCTGTAAGATGGGGTCAGGGACTCCTAGTTCAGGCTGTCTGGGAGTTCTGTAAGGTGCCACACCCAGGCTCTGAGAAGACGCTGTAGCTGAGAGAGGCAATCTGGCTCCATTCAGTCCTCAGTCAGTCCTGTGAGTCACTGCTATTGTTACCGCCATTTCATACTGTATACCGTCAGAGATATACAGTAACTGCACAAAAAGTCACATCAGCTGGGAAGGGGTGGAGGCTAGATTAGGAGCTGGCATTCTGCCTTCAGGATATACTTGGTTGCACAGAAGCCCTGCATCCCTTGTGCTGTTGATGTAAGGGTGAGTGAGAAACATTCAAGATACTGTGAAATCTGGCGAGTGCTCAGCAGATTTGAGCTGTCCCAGCATCAAGACCAGCAAAGCATCATGCATGCTATGCAAGAACTTTGCTGCTGGGCTGCACCCAAGCCTGGCTTTTGTTTTGTTTTTCTTTAGGAAAAAATTAGGAGGCTAGGGATGTGCCCTAGCGGTATAGCGGTAGAGCACTTGCTTGGGCCCTGGGCCCAAGACTCAACTCCCCCCCCCAACAAAACAAACAAACAAACAAAAAAAGGCTTCCTGGTATGGTGCTAACTCTGAGGAGCTTCTAAGGGGCTCCATTGGTCAACCGGACAAACTGCTTTTATATTATTTCCCGGAATAGGCCCCCCCAACCCTTCCCCTTCCCCATATCCTCTTGGCTTAGTTCATTTCCAGCCTCCTTCTCCACTCCAGCTCCTGTGATGTACAGATGAAGACATGGGTCTGTAAACATCCTAGTCAATGGTGCACAAGCCTGAACATGGAACCTTGGCCTGCCACCCTCCAGATACACCTGGCTGTCCACACCCACTCTTCCCTGCCCCTGCACCACATCTAAGCTTCTCTTAAGAGGATCTGCCCTAATCCTCTTCCCTTCATCCCTCTGGGAGGATGAGCTGGTGTTAAGGCTGATGCAGCTGTTAATCCTATTTTTTCCCAACTATGATCCTAGGAGCAGCTGTGTGGATGTTGTCTGGGCTCTTGGCCAGAAAGTAGGGACTCAACAAGAGCTGAGTATCAAGAGTATCCCAGGAGGCCTCGTCAGCTCAGACACATTAGTTGTGACTGAGAAAGAGGCCCTGACTGCCAGCAGTAGGTCAGACTGCCTTAGGAGTGCAGCTCCTATTACCACAGTTTTGGAACAAGGACTAAAAGAGACTCCACCACAGAGGATAGACCAAAATTCCTGTCTGGGGTCATGTGCTTCACAGCTATGCATGGTCAGAATTCTCTGAACAGTTGTTCCTCCAAGAACCGGCCAACCGGGGGAGGGTAATTCGTACCCACAGTGGCTCTTCCTTCCTCTGGAAAGGTCTGTCTTCCCTGAGCATCTGGAAACTTTAAGGCCTTGGTCAGAACTGAGAAAAGAAGATTGTGAGAGTAATGGAAGCCAGGCATTTTAGGAATGCCAGAGAATTTAGAAAACGGGCTAAGGAATAGAATAGAGCTGGTTCTTTTGTGATTCTGGCCCCTCACTTACTGGTCTCTGGTTGTAGAGGTCAGTGGTTTGGGCCGAGGAGGTGGCTCAGTGGTTAGGAGCACTTGCTGTTCTTGCAGACCATTCCAGTTTGATTCCACATGGTGGTTTATAACCATCTGTAACTCCAGTTCCAGGGGGTTGAACAGCCTTCGTGGGCACCAGACATGGACATGGTGCCAGCAAACATTCATACATGTAAAATAAAAGCAATTTTTTCTTTTATCAGTATTTAATTTTACTTTATGTGTATTGGTTTGTGTGGGAGTATCAGATCCTGTGGAACTGGAGTTACAGACAGTTGTGAGCTGCCATGTGGGTGCTGGAAATCGAGCCTGGGTCCTTTGGAAGAGCAGACAGCGCTCCTAACCGCTGAGCCATCTCTCCAGCCCCCGGAATTTGTTTTGTTTTGTTTTGTTTTCCTTAAAGATAGGGTCACCTCAGATCTTGAGATGGCTTTGGTAAAGAAGGAAGGCTTGAAGAAGGCAGAAGGATGGCTTTGATCTAATTTTTCTTCTCTTGCAGAGAGGACCCACCCACCAAGGCCATGGAAGTGGAGGCTACAGAGGCCAAAGCCCCAGGCCCCTGCTACAAGCGCTCTGGCCGCCGTTATAAGTGCCTGTTCTGTACAAAGACATTTCCAAATGCTCCCAGGGCAGCCCGCCATGCTGCTACACATACATCTACAGACTGCAAAGAGGAGGTGAATGAAGTCCAGTCCAAGGTGGACACGGAGCCCAAGGCCGAGGACGCCAGCGGAGACAAGGTGTCTGCTTCAGTGGCCAAGCCCCGGCCCTATGCCTGTCCACTGTGCCCCAAGGCCTACAAGACAGCTCCTGAGCTCCGCAGCCACGGGCGCAGCCACACTGGGGAGAAGCCCTTCCCGTGCCCCGAGTGTGGCCGCCGCTTCATGCAGCCAGTGTGCCTGCGTGTGCACCTGGCCTCGCACGCTGGTGAGCTGCCCTTCCGATGCACACACTGCCCCAAGGCTTATGGGACACTGTCCAAACTCAAGATCCACCAGCGCGGGCACACGGGCGAGCGGCCCTACGCCTGCACCGACTGCGGCAAGAGCTTTGCCGATCCGTCAGTGTTCCGCAAGCACCGGCGCACGCACGCCGGCCTGCGGCCCTACAGCTGCGAGCGCTGTGGCAAGGCCTACGCCGAGCTCAAGGACCTGCGCAACCACGAGCGGTGAGGCCCGGGGATACGGTGGGAGGAGGGACCGCCGGGGCTGGTCTAAAGACGGAAGTGCCTGGTTGGCCCGCGGTCAGGCTGGGTGGAGACCTGGACCGGGAGGGGGCCTGATGGGCCTTGGTTCCGGGACAGCCGGAAAGGGCAGTGTTTGACATCAGTCCTCCACGGGGTCTTGACTTCTGTGGGTGGGTTGTAGGGAATTACCACCCAGACAGGCTGCGGGGCCGTCCCGTTGCCATCTAACCAGGCCCTCCGTCACTCCTCAGGTCCCACACGGGTGAGCGCCCCTTCCTTTGCTCCGAGTGCGGCAAAAGCTTCTCGCGATCCTCTTCGCTCACATGCCACCAGCGTATCCATGCAGCCCAGAAGCCCTACCGCTGCCCGGCGTGCGGGAAGGGCTTCACGCAGCTGAGCTCCTACCAAAGCCACGAGCGCACGCATTCGGGCGAGAAGCCCTTCTTGTGCCCTCGCTGTGGCCGCATGTTCTCCGACCCCTCGAGCTTCCGCCGCCACCAGCGGGCACACGAGGGCGTGAAGCCTTACCGCTGCGAGAAGTGCGGCAAGGACTTCCGGCAGCCGGCCGACCTGGCCATGCATCGGCGAGTGCACACGGGCGACCGGCCCTTCAAGTGCCTGCAGTGCGACAAGACTTTCGTGGCCTCCTGGGACCTCAAGCGACACGCCCTGGTGCACTCGGGCCAGCGGCCCTTCCGCTGCGAAGAGTGCGGGCGAGCCTTCGCCGAGCGAGCCAGCCTCACGAAGCACAGCCGCATGCACTCGGGTGAGCGTCCTTTCCACTGTAACGCCTGCGGGAAGTCTTTCGTGGTGTTGTCCAGCCTCAGGAAGCACGAGCGCACCCACAGAAGCAACGAGACTACCGGAGCTGCCCCCCAGCAGGAGCTGGTCCTGGGACTGGCGCTGCCCGTAGGCGTCGTGGGTGAGGAGGGCTCGGCCGCCCCCGTGGCGGGAGCAGGGCTAGGGGACCCTCCCGCCGGGCTGCTGGGGTTACCGCCCGAGTCTGGCGGGGTAGTGGCTACACAGTGGCAGGTGGTGGGCATGACGGTGGAGCATGTGGAGTGCCAGGATGCTGGCGTCGGGGAGGCCCCTGGCACCCTGGGAGACGCCGGGGAGGTGGCGGGCGAGGAGGCTGATGAGAAGCCCGCACAGTTCGTGTGTCGAGAGTGCAAAGAGACTTTCAGCACGTTGACGTTGCTGCGCCGGCACGAGCGCTCGCACCCCGAGCTCCGGCCCTTCCCCTGCACCCAGTGTGGCAAGAGCTTCTCGGACAGGGCTGGGCTTCGCAAGCACGGTCGCACCCACAGCTCCGTCCGCCCCTACTCCTGTCCCCAGTGTCCGAAAGCGTTCCTGAGTGCCAGTGACCTTCGCAAACATGAACGCACCCACCCCGTGCCCATCGGGACCCCCATCCCCCTGGAGCCCCTTGTGGCTTTGCTAGGAATGCCAGAAGAAGGGTCAGCTTGAAGCTTGCAGCTCTCTCTACCCCCCCCCAAAGCCCCACCCCCAGTCTCCTGTGGGCAGCTAGCTCCGCTCTCAGTCCTTGGAGAGCTGGGGACAACTGAGGCTGGCAGACACACTCATTAAAGCATTGGCTTTGATACCGAGCTGTCTTCTGCATTCTGGTGCAGTTAAGCCTCAGTGGAGATCCCGGACAGATACACAGAGGGCTCTTGGGGGTGTTTTGTTTTGTGACAGGATCTCAAAGCTTAGCCTGACCCAGAGCTCAGTGGGTAGCCCAGGCTCACCTTGAGCTCAAGCGATCCTCCTGAAGTAGCCTCCCAAGTACTAGGATTACAGGTATTTACCATACCTGGCCCCAGAAGGGTCTTGAAATGTGTTGATTGCCAAAGTATATTTTGGGTTGTCTTTCAAAAGAGCTTTGTAGGCAGGTTGGTCCAGGAAGTTATCTGAGGCTCTGAGAATTCTTGGTGATTAAGCGGTGTGTTAAAAGCGTTAGGCCCTGCAGTGAAGCAGCCTCTGCAGCGAAGCAGCCTCTGCAGCTTAGATTAGCCTGTACTCGGGACCGTGAAACCTTTACTATGTCTGTCCTTCCATAGATAGTAAGCTGGCCTCAACAATTATTTTTTTCTCAGGGCTGGAGAGATGGCTCCACTGTTAAAGGCTAAGGGTCACAAAAAGTTCCCCCCCTCAGATATGAGACAGCTAAAAAACATTATCTTTCCTGTTTTTCACAGTAACAAACTAGAAGGTGTACTTGGAGGGAAACAGATTCCTCTTCACATTAAAACCCACGAACTACAAAGAACTAACCTCGTGGTAGCACACGCCTTTAATCCTAGCCCTCTGGAGACAGAGGCAGGTGGATTGCTGGGCCAGCCTGGTCTATAGAAAGGGAGTCCAGGGCAGCCAGGGCTGTTACACAGAGAAGCCCTGTCTTGAAAAAAGTCCTTACTGGGTTTGGGTTTGGTGCACACCTTCAGTCCCAGCACTCAGGCAGTAGAGGCAGACAAATCTCTGGGTTCAAGGGCAGCCTGTTTGAAGGAGTTCCAAGACAGCCGGGGCTACACGCGCACACAAAGCTAAGTGAAGAAACATACATAGTCTAAGCAGTGGGGTATACTATGCCTGAATTGACTGGGTTGTTACTAAAATGTGTTGATAGACTCCAGCACTTGGGAGGCAGAGGCAAGGAGGTCTCTGAGTTCAAGACTAGTTTGGTCAACATCAGGAGTTCTAGCTGACCAGGGCCACATTATGAGGTACACAAAAGTTGACAACTGGAATTTATTTTGGTGATGGAGCACTTACCCATCATGTGTGATGTGAGGTCCTGGGTTCTATCTACAGCATTAGGAGGGAAAAGTTGACTCTTCTAGTTTAGTCTCTAAATCCATTGCATTTGCATTAAATTCACAGTGTAGCCCAGGCTGTGTACCCTCAAACTGGTACTTCTGCTATAGCTTCCCAAACATATGCTGTCACAGCTGACTGTCTGACATTTGTAGGGGGAAAACCAACCAGAGTTCCTGGCTGTCCTGGAACTTTAGAAGAGGCTGGCCTCCAGCTCATAGGTTTGCTACCATTCCTTTGTATTTCATGATGTCAGCTGGTTGTCAGTGCAGTGAAGCCAAACTTGGGGCAGAGACAGATTATTCTGCCATTTTCCCAGATTTGTAAGGTTTGTGTCAGCCTTAGGCCTGATCATTGCGCAGTTGTAGTCAGCCTATGAGGTTCCCAAAAGTGTTGTGATCATCAGTATTTTAAAGTTTATCAGTATGGCCGCATGGCACCATTACACCTAGAAAAACAGAAGGTGACTTGGGCACGTGGGTTGTCACGTTGGCCATCTTGGACTGGCGTGTGCCTGTGTTTGGCATGAGTGAGAGTTTTTGGAAGCATCCCCCAGAACATCATTATGGTGTATGGAAAGAGCCCCAAGGATTTTTTAACTCAGTCTGAAAATGCAAAGCTCATATAGAACATCTATATTTCTGTTTTTCATTTAGGTTAATTTTTGGTGCCGGGTATTGAAGGTAGGATCTCACTTATATTAAACATTTGCTCTACCACTGAGCTACACAGCCAGCCCATGATAGTTTAAAAGAAGAATAGAGGTGACATCTTTGACAGGCTAAAAACCAAAGCACTAGAATAAAAAATACAATAGCACATGCCTTTAATCGCAACACTGAGGAGGCAAAGGCAGGTAGATCTCTGAGTTTGAGGCCAGCCTGGTCTACAGAAAGAGTTCTGGGAAAGCCAGGGCTACACAGAGACCTTGTCTTGAAAAACCAAAAAACAATCATGTTTGGCACAAAAATTAAAGTCAACCAGTAGAGTGAAAGAGGGGTCCAAACAGCCACGTGTATATCTGTAAACTTACTATTACTTATTTTAAGTTTTGTAGTGCTGAAGATTGAACCAGGAGCCATAAGCATGTTGGGCAAAAACTTTGGCATGGACCTAGAGCTCCTGCCCTATTTTATTTTTATGTTGAGACATGGGACTCACGAAGGTGACTAGCCCAGATAAACTTGGAACTTTTTTCGTCCCCCCAGTTTTTCAGGACAGGGTTTTTCTGTGTAGTCCTGGTTGCCTAGAACTCACTATACACCAGGCTGGCCTTGAACTCATGAGTCCACCTGTCAGCTTCCCGAGTGCTGGGATTAAAGGCATGTGCCGCCACCACCTGACAGACTTGGAACTTTTGATCCTGCACTGTCAGCTTACTGAGCAACTGAGACAGGCTTATACCACTAAGCCAAACACAATTTAGGTATCATTCATTTCTTTATTGCTGTTTTGTTTTGTGTTTTTTATTTTTTTGAGACAGCCTTGCTGTGTAGCCTAGACTGGCCTGTGATCTTACGTTTTCATTCAGTATCTAAAGTGCTGGGATTACTATCAACTTTTTTATATGTATTTCCGGCTATCCTGGAACTCTCTGTAGACCAGGCTGGCCACGAGCTCGCAGCAATTCACCTGCCTCCCAGAGTCCTGGAGTCACAGGTATGCGCCACCACACCTGGCTGGAATACTTTTTTTTTTTAATTTATGTTTATACTTATTTTATGTGTGTGCGCATGCCTGTGTGGGGTGTATGTGTGCCCTGGGCACATAGGGAGATCAGAGGACAACTTGGGAGAGTCAGTTTTCTTCTGCCATTTGGGACGTAGGGATGGAACTCAGATTGTCAGCCTTCGCAGCAAGCACTTTTGCCTGCTGAGCCACCTCGCCTGCCTAGGGGGCTGCTGAAGATTGCATCCTACATTGTATCCAGTAGGCCCTTCCTTCCTGTCTGTAGCTAAAGCAAAGCTAAAGGCCCGAAGTAAGCTGAAACTCCCTTCCTAAGCTCTTTGTTTTCTTTCCCCCTTTTCTGAGAATCTTCCTGTAGACAGTTTTTGTTTTTGTTTTTTGAGACAGCGTCTCCCTGTGTTAGCTCAGGCTGTCCTTGAACTTGAGGCTATCTTCCTGCTCAGCCTCCTGCATGCTGACATTACAAGCATGCTTCACCACACTGGGATTCCATGCCCTGTCACAGAACTTGAGGACCACCAAGTTGGCAGCGTCAGGAAGACCGCAGGGTACAGTTCATCTCCAGGCCCAAGTGCTGGTCGTGGGAACATTGCAGCAAGCAGCCATAGTTTAACGAAGGAAAAATAGCAAACATCTCAGTGACAGAGATAGCAGAATCACACCCAGTTCTCAGAAATTAGTGTTAGAGGGAAGTCTTTTGAGATGGCTCAGCCAGTAAAATGCATTTGCCACCTAGCCTGACAACCTAAATTCAACAGCCAGAGACCTGCATGATGGAAGGAGAGAGCTGATTCGTAGAAGCTGTCCTCTGAGCCGGGTGTGGTGGCACCTATCTGTAATCCCAGCACTCAAGAAGCAGAGGCAGGAGGATCTCTGTGAGTTCGAGGCCAGCCTGGTCTACAGAGTTCCTGGACAGCCAAGGCTACACAGAGAAACCCTGTCTCAAAAATAAACAAAAACCTCCTAACTCTAACAAGTGATGCGGCCTACACACACCCCTGGTTGTTTAAAATGAAAGGGTGTCTTTCAAGTTGAGAGTGTAGTTCAGTGGTTGAGCATTTGCTTAGCTCGTAATGAGGACTCTGGTATTATAAAAGAAGAAAAGTTATGTGGGTTGGGGAATCGGGGCCATGGGTCTTCAAGCCCAGTACTTGGGAGGCCGAAGCAAGCTGGACAGCGAGATAACTCATGGAGGAAGGGCACTCGCCAATGCCGAGGGCATGTGTTTACACACTTGCTGGTTTTCATTCTTGATGCTTGTGCGGGGGTTGTGTGCGCGTCAGTGCAGTCAGTGTTCACGGAGTGTGTCTGATCCTTGGAGCTGGAGTTACAAGCAATTGTGAGCCGCCTGATTTGGCAGCAAGTGTTCTTAAGAGCTGAACCATTTCTCCTTAATAAATGTACTTTTCAAGCTGTGTATGTTTTTATAGCTAGAAGCCCTTAGACTTAAGATACTTGGCCCATCTTGAGTTAATTTCTGTGTACGGTTTGAAGGGAGGAGGTTCAACTTCATTCTTTTGCCTATGAATTTTCAATTGTTCCAGATGCATCTGTTGAAAAGACATTTGTTGTCCATTTAATTGTCTTGGCCTTCTTTAAAAAAATAAACTAACTGTAAATATAAGGGGTTTTGTTTTGTTTCTCGCTGGGGCTCAAACCCAAGACCTGGCACATGTTAGGCAAAGCTCTACATTTAAATCACACCTTCGGCTTCATGTCTGTCATTATGCCGGGGCCACAATATCTAGATTATTACGGGTTTTTTTTAAAGATGGCGTTTATCTCTGTGTACTTTGACCGCATGTATGTCTGTGCACTCAGAAGATAGTATTGGAGCCCCTAGAAGTGATAGATAGTTGTAAACCATGTGGGTGCTGGGAACTGAATCCCAAACCTCCACAAGGGTAACAGGTGACAAGCAACCGAGCCATTCTCCAGCCCCCGGTTAGTACAGTTTTGTAAAACTTCAGAGCCTATGAGTTTCCCAGCTTGGTTATTTCTTCTCTCCCAACTTGTTTTATTTCAAGATTTTTTTTTCCCCTGTTCTTACAGTTACATTTTGATTTTATTTTGTAGTTTTGTTGGGTTTTGTTTTTTTTGGCTTTTTGAGACAGGATTTCTCCTGTGTCGCCAAAGCTGTCCTGGAACTCGCTCTGTGGACCAGGCTGGCCTCGAACTCGCAGAGATTTGACTGAGTTTTGAAGTCAAAAGTGTGTGCCCCCACCGCCTGGCTCATTTTGTAATTTTTGAGACTGGATTTGAGAGCTGCATGTTGGCCCTCAATTCACGATGTAGCCCTTGCTGGCCTCAAACAGTCCATTCTCCTGCCTCAGCCTCCTGAGTGCTGGAATTACAGATGTATGTCATCACACCTAACTTTGAATTTTTAGATCAGATTGCCAGATTTTGCTATCAAGAAACAAAAAGCAAGTTTAGGTTTTGGTAGTTGTACCGAATCAGTTCATTCACGTGTGGGATATTTATCAAATCTCTGACCTGGGAGCATGGGATGTTTTAAATTTAATCAGATATTTTACTTTTTAAAGATTTATTTTTAAGCTGGGCAGTGGTAGTGACTACCTTTAACCCCGGCAGAGGCAGAGGCAGGCAGCCTGGGCTACACAGAGAAACCCTGTCTCAACAAACAAGCAAACATACACAAGATTTCTTGTTATTGTGCATGCATGGGTTTGGCTGGGACGTCCGTCTCTGTACCATGTGCATGGAATGCTGGAAACAGGAAGTTTCCTGTTTCCCTGGAACTGAAGTTGAGAGGCCAGTGTGAGCTGCCATGCAGGCGTTGGGAATGAAGTGAAGGCCATGTCCTCTGAAGAGTATTTCTTAGCCACTGAGCCACCTTTCCAGCCCCACCTTAGATTTTTAATTCCTTTCAACTGTATTTTTTTAATTTTATCTATAAATATATTTGTTTGTTTGTTTCAAGACAGGGTTTCTCTGTGTAGCCCCGACTGTCTTGGAACTCTTAACTGTAGAGCAGGCTGGCCTCACAGAGATCCTTCTGCTCTGAGTCCTGGGATTAAAGGTATGTGCCACCATACCTGGTTTACCTATAAATCTTATGTTGTTAAGTTTATATCAAGTTATTGTTTTTGTTGCTATTACAAATGAATTGTTCTCGTTTTTTTATCTGTGACATTTAGTTTGTTTTGAGACAGGGTCTCATAGAGTCTCAGCTGGCCTCAAACTCACTGTGTAGCCATGGTTAGCCTTGGAACTTCCTAACCTTCTGTTTCCCAAGTGTTGGAATTACAGGCCAGCCGCTGTGCCAGGCCTAAGAGAATCAATTGTTTTGATTATTTCACTTTTGAATTGTTCTTTGTTAGTGACAAATACAGTCTTGTGATACAATAGGGAAGTTCCCTTTCACTCCCATTGAGCTAGACTTTTAACGGTTTCATGGGAGCCCTGTGTGGTGGCACATGCCTGTAATGCCAGCACTCAGAGGCAGAGGCAGGTGGATTTCTGTGAGTTGGAGGCCAGCCTGGTCTACAAAGTGAGTTTCAGAACAGCCAAGGCTACACAGAAAAACCCTGTCTCAAAAACCAAACAAACAAAGGTTTCATGGGATCAAGGTTGACTTGGAATTTGGTACACAGTCAAGGATGTGTACCAAGTTCTAATCGTCTGGCCTCCACCTTCTGAGTGTTAGAATTACAGGCCTGTAACCAGCACCCTGGTTTCTTTGGTGCTTGGGATGAAACACAGGCCTTTGCACACGCTTACACAAGCAGCCTATGAACTAAGCTAAATCTCAAGTCTCAAATGTTTGTTAACTTTTTCTTTCTTTTGATTTTTTGTTTTTGTTTGTTTGTTTTTGTTTTTTTCAAGACAGGGTTTCTCAGTGTAGCTGTCCTGGAACTCATTCTGTAGACCAGGCTGACCTTGAACTCACAAGGTCCACGTGCTTCTGCCTCCTGAGTGCTGGGATTGATGGCACGCGCCATACCTGCAGTAATGCCTAGACGCCTTGCTCTCTGTCCCTCCCTAGTCTTCTCTAATATCCCTTAACTCCATTTCCTGCCAGGTGTTCTCCAGCTGGCGAATGCAGATTTATAGGCTCCGGTGCTAAGACAATAGCTGGGATCAGCTCTCCATGATTGGACGTCGTCATCATGCCCCCTCAATAAACAGGCTCATCCTGGCCTCGGTCCCAGGAAAGGAAGTGGAGGGAAAGCGGGAGGAAAGGGAAGAGATGAAAAGGGCCGGGTGTGTGCACCCCTGTGACCTCAGCGTTTGGAAGACTGAGGCAGCAGTTTCAGGGCCAGCACAGAAAGGAGATGGTCGCCCCTGGGAGTCGGGGAGACAGGCTGGGGCTAAGGCTGAAGCAGAGGAAGCAACAGCATTCTGAACTCCGCTGAGGAGCTGTGGAGACCGGTCAGTTCTGGACTGCTGTCAGAAGTCCCTCTGTCCTGGGGTCAGCCTTCTTTAGAGCTCTCTGTTGTCTCCATCTCCCACCTACAGACATCAAGCAGACTCCGGTCACAGTGACCTTATCAGGTGCCCAATGTGTGTGGAAGGCACCGTCAGGTGTTCGCCTCAGCCAGTTCTGTGCCTTATTAGTTTGTTGGGTTTCGTTTTGTATTTGCTGTTGGGTTTGTGTTTTTTTGTTTTGTGTGAGATAAGTTCTCATTATATAGCCTTGGCTAGCTGAGATTTTTTTACGTAGATCAGGATAGCCTCAATCTCAGATCTGTCTGCTTCTGCCTCCTAAGTGCCGGGATCAAAGGTGTGAGCCACCACACACAGACCTACCTCCTTATTTTTTTTAAGACAGGCTAAGATTCAAACTCAGTTCCTTCTTCAGCAAATGCTACTACCAACTGACCCACTCCCTAACCCTTCTTTGGGCTTGTTTGCTGGTTTTCTGAGATAGGGTCTTGCTGCAGGGCCCAGGCTGATTCTCAGACTTGAAATGTTTCTGCCCCAGCCTGCTGAGTGCTCGCATTACAACTGCGAATGACCGTCCCCAGCCTCTGACTCTCCTTTCTCCCTTAGTCTTCTGTTGCTTGATGGGGAGAGTTCTGTTATTTGTTTGATTATGTTGGCTCATCTGCATAAGCTGATTTTAACTTTAGTTAGTAACTCTTAATCACGCCTACACAGTTTTGCCAACTAAATGTGATGATAGACACCTGTAGGAAGCACAGCTGCTCAGGATGTAGAGGCAGGGGGACCACAAGTCAAAATCCAGCCCGGCATATGCAGTGGGGCCTAGTCATTCATTCAGTCAACCATTCGGTCAGTCACTGTGTGTTTAACTCAGTGATGGCATTTTCCTGGCATTTGCAAGGTCCTGAGTTCAAGCCCCAGTACTGAAACAACACAAACAAACCTAGCCAAGTACCTTTCGCCACATAAAGGAATATATCCATAGTTATTAGGGAGTGGACTCTTCAGGGGCCGTTATTTCACCTAGCTCGTCTCTTCTGGCTCTCAAAGATTGTCCCATCCGCAAAAAGACATTTCCCAAAATTCTAACCCTGTCAAAGCCCCAAAACGTCTCCTATTCTAAAGTCCCAGATTTTATCAATCATCAAAATCAGATGCCAGTCGAACTGTGGGTAAAGTCCACCTACAGCACAGGTCCCCAGCTGTGGACATGTACAACGAAAGGGCTCAGCGGAAGAGTGCTTCCCCTGCATGGGTGAGGGCCTGGCTTCATTCCCAGCACTGCGCCCCACCTACACAGCCTCGTAACTACAGGCACCTGGACCAACGGAGGGTGAAACTACCCATGGAAAGCAAAATGTACAGACCCACTTGGAGGGCTGGAGAGATTTAAGAGTGCTCACTTGCAGAGGATCTGGATCCGGCTCCCAGCACCCATATCGGGTGGCCTACAGCTGCTTATAATTGCAGATTCAGGGGATTTAATGCCGCTGGCCTTCCTGGGTTCAGCATACATACACATGAATCAATAAAAATCGGCAAACCTTAAAAATAACGCTAAAGATCCCCCTAGGTGTTAGATGCTGCGGGGGCACCTGACTTTAATCCCAGCACTTGGGGGCTGTGGTAAGTAGCAGATCTCTGAATTCCAGGCCAGCCTGGTGTACACAGGGAGTGTCAGGTCAGCTGGGGCTACAAAGTAAGACACTCTCAAAACACAAATAAAAAAACAAAACTCCACGTCGGCAGATTTTCTTAGTTTCCAAGCTAAAAATAATCCTCGGTGGCTTTGTTTTGCCTCCAGGTCTCCGTACCAACCTTGGCGTTAGTCATTCTTCCTAAACCGGTTCTCGTGAGGCCCTACTTGGGACGGCTATCTCCAGCATCCTGCCGGTTTTATTGTATCGCCTTTGTTTGTTTATTTGGTTTGGTGTTTGGTGTTTTTGTTCTGTTTTTTGAGACAAGGCTTCTCTGTGTAGTCTTGGCTATCCTGGAACTCAATCTATAGACCAGGCTGACCTCTGCCTCCCAAGTGCTGGAATTAAAGGTGTGAACCACAGCCACCTGGCTTATTTACCTTTTTTTTTTCCTTTTTTTTTTTTTTTTTTTTACGTAAATAAGGGTCTCATTATGTAGTCCTGACTAGCCTGGAAGCTGCTATGTAGACCAGGCTAGCATCAGACTCAGAGCTGCCTGCCTCTG